CTAAAGAAAAATGAGATAGAAAAAAAGGAATAGCCTACGAGATTTGCTTCACTATTTACATTATTCGGACTATTGTCCTCATCTTTGTCGCCATATTTATTACAACGTTTCGGCCGTTGAACGCTCTGGCCTTCTTCAGGTGGTTGGAATGTCGAAGTGAACCCTTTATTTCGTTCACTGGGATACACTGTTCTAGTTCCACGTGCCATGTTTAATGGATGTCAGTTATCAGTTATCTCCTGTTAATTTCTCTCTCCAAATTCTCCACAGCTTTAACCAGGTATTGAACTCACACTCTTTGGGTTCTTTCATTGGATCTAACTAACGCCTTTATCCACTGTGCCATGTGTCCTCAGGGACAACGGGCTACGAGACTTGCTAAATAACTAATAACAGTTTAAAAGGCTTGCTTCATTCTACTGAAAACGGTCTACGAGACTTGCTTCATTCTACTGAAAACGGTCTACGAGACTTGCTTCACTCTACTGAAAACGGTCTACGAGACTTGCTTCATTCTACTGAAAACGGTCTACGAGATTTGCTTCATTCTACTGAAAACGGTCTACGAGATTTGCTTCATTCTACTGAAAACGGTCTACGAGACTTGCTTCATTCTACTGATAACGGTTTACGAGATTTGCTTTATTCTACTGAAAACGATCTACGAGACTTGTTTCATTCTGCTGAAAACGGTCTACGAGACTTCATTCACTCTACTGAAAACGGTCTACGAGACTTCATTCACTCTACTGATAACGGTCTACGAGACTTCATTCACTCTACTGATAACGGTCTACGAGACTTGCTTCATTCTACTGAAAACGGTCTACGAGACTTGCTTCATTCTACTGAAAACGGTCTACTTTAGATCAACTTTGTTAATACTATTCCTCGATATCACTCTCTGACAACGTTTCTTTTTTATGACCAAATATCATTCACTCAACTGATGCACAAGAAAACGTAATCCTTCCTTACCTATTTTTTTATACATTTCCATTTATATTCACTTAATCAATAACAAAAAACTTTTAGCTAATTACTGTCTTACCGTTAATTTTTGGGATGAGGAATTATCAAGTACATTCGGATTATTATCTTCATCTTTATTGTTGTTACCACAACGTTCCAGCCATTTTAACCTCCGGCCTTCATCATGTGTACATCGATCTGGGTAACCTGCGGAAAATTCTGTACTGAACCCTTTATTTAATCTACGGTGTAGACTGTTCCTGTAGTTGTAAAGAAAAGCAAAAAAAAAGACTGTCAGCTTTTAGTAGCAATAAACGTTTGCAATATATTTCTTCTGTCTCTCGACCGCAACACTTGTAGCCAAATCACAGTTCAAACGATAGTCCGTCGTAACAGTCCAACAGGCAACGTAGAAACGACAAAATGGGGTCACAAATCAAACCTTCACTTCCCACCAGCAAAAACGCGTGTTCGTCCACCAAGCTCAGAAAATCAAATCTGTTCATTCACATAAGCGAAAAACTATGGCTTTTTCACCGAGAGAATTTTCTGATTTGTCACGCCCTTCAGGAGAGGAAGAACATTAGCATAGATTCTTGTCCTTAAATTAGATTTTTGCTAACAGTGACTTTTGTGGTAATTTTTCTTCGGCAGGTCGCACACAAAACACAAAATCTTTTTCGCTGTAGCTGATTATTTCTTTCTCTACAGTCCCCCTTTGTGGAACAAGAAAAAATAAACAATACTGAGTTTAGTTCAGAATTCCTTGTAGCTTACTCCGATCTTTAATAGGTCGAATGTATTGTGTGGGAATAATTCTAGCGATTTGAATCCTTATTTGATTTCACTGTGTTGTTCACATCTTCTTCCTCGTTGTTATTCACATTCACTTACGACATCCGCTTTCAGAAAGAGGCCCCCTCTACAAAAATAAAACACAGTATAAAAGTAAGGCTTAAAACTTAGTTTCATCCACTGTTCGATTTCCTCCGCCATTTCGAATGCGACTTGAGATGATACACTGATACTGTTATAGGTGCTTGCTGTGCAATACAGCGTTGCCCACAAAACAATTTAAATTACCGTAACCAAATTCAAAGGCCGAAGAATCAATCGGCTGAAAACTGTGACAAAAGAAAAAAATACTACACTGTTTATATTATTCGGACTATTGTCCTCATCTTTGTCGGCATATTTATTAAAACGTTTCGGCCGTTGTACGCACCGACCTTCTTCAGGTGGTTGGAATGTCGAACTGAACCCTTTATTTCGTTCACAGGGGTAGACTGTACTAGTTCCATGTGCCATGTTTAATGCATGTCAGTTATCAGTTATCTCCTGTTAATTCGCAATGTTTGTTCAGGTACTTTCGAAAAATAAATACATATAAGTCTGTAAAAAGAGAGGGATCAATTAATTTTTCGCTCTATTTGTATTATGAAGAGGAAATTTTCTAAGTCGACAAAATCAATACCTTTAGATTTTGATAAATATGGTGGAAAGGTCTAATCAATAAAAATGATTCCACTAGAAATGTTTCGTTATTTTCTAGGAGTAGACCAATGTATTTAAGCAGTACTTATTATCCGTCTATATTTCTGAGATGAGCTATTTACATTATTCGGACTATTGTCCTCAACTTTGTTGCCATATTTATTACAACGTTTCGACTTTTCAGTTATCTGTCTATATTTCTGAGATAAGGTATTATGTACACTATTTACATTATTCGGTCTATTGTCCTCATTTTTGTCGCCATATTTATTAGAACGTTTCTGTCGTTGTACGCTCTGGCCTTCTTCAGGTGGTTGGAATGTCGAAGTGAACCCTTTATTTCGCTCACTGGGGTAGAATGTTCTAGTTCCATGTGCCATGTTTAATAGATGTCAGTTATCAGTTATCTCCTGTTAATTCCCCTCTCCAAGTTCTCTACTGCCTTAATCGGGTATTGAACTCACACTCTTTGGGTCCTGTCACTGGATCTAACCAACGCCTTTATCCACTGTGCCATGTGTCCTTGAGGAAAATACTAATTAACAAAATATAAAGGCTATGACGAAAATGTGGTATGGCGCGTTGCGTGGCGGTTATCAATAGTGGAATATTGAATAGTGGAATTGAAGCCGCGGATATTGAGTTCGCTTTCACAGAAATACACTTAAATATATACTCATCCATTTTACAAATCTACCATTTGAACAAATATTGCCTACTGTTACCATATCTGGTCTGATTCTCCTGCTATACATCTCGAGATTCTTGACAAAATCCAAAGAAGGGTCAGTAAAGATCCTGACTTGACATCTCGATTTTCTCACGAAGTCACGTGGCTTCTCTCTGTCTTTTTACAAATATTTTCATGGCAACTACCCTAACGAGCTTTTGTTCCTGGTGCCACAAATAATATGAATTTATTTGTGCTACTAGATTGGCATCTAGATCCCACCCTTTAATGTTGAAATAAATGCAAACGCCACTTCTACACCAATAGTCTCTTTTCTCGCACTTCCCAGCTGTGGAACTCCTTTCCGTTTTCTTGCTTCCATGATAACTACTTTTGTAATGCCTGTTTGGAGGAGAGACTTTGTAAGTCACAGATACAATAATAGCAACGCCTTCGAACAACACCCAATTAGAGGCTGCTAATTCCCATATATATATATATATATATATATATATATATATATATATATATATATATTCCTTTACCTGTCACGTGATCTAATTATTCAAGATGAGGTCGACTGTGCTTGCTCTCTGGCAATCCGTGTTCAAACCCACGTTTATTTCTATATGACAACTACAATTTAAACGCAACGTCAATCACCATCTTCTGTCTTCTTGAATCCCTTACCATCTTTCGTCCGTTAGCCCTCTGTGGCTGAACGGTCATAACACGTCAGGCTAAATAATGGTTCCGTATAGGATACACTTTCGATTCCTGTCGGAGGACGCATATTTTCTACGAAATTCCTCGAACATTCGGGCCGTAAAATCTAATTAATACTAAACAGAGAATTTAAACAAATAAGTGTATCCATAAAAAAAAAAACGTATAAACAGAAAATATATTATTAAGTTTATATAAATTTTAGATGAACGATTCACTTATTTCAAAGTGAAATTTTGAATATCGAAGATAATTTAAAATTTTTATCCAGATAATGAATACAGCATTTCTTGAAATAACTGATAATTCAATGATGCCAAATTTAGTGATTATACCGTATGAAGAAGAATTTATCAGTTCAACTATATTCTTTTTCGAAGGAAGTAACATGCCAAAGCGTGTAAAGGCATATTTATCCAATAGTATGACCTCTTGACCTTTTGACTTCCTGGTCTTGTAAATGATTCCACTAATTTATAAAATCGCAACAGAAAATATGAAGATAAATTTGCACGAGTCTCTTCCATCAAGATGGCGGTCAGGCTGTAATAAGTGATATATGAACGTCATTTGTGTTCGTATATATTAGGAAAAAACTCAGTTCATCCAGTAAGCAAACTTGAACTGCAGTGTCACATAAGCGATTTTCAATTCCATGTACAATTAAGGGCAGTTGCGATGAGAAATGGCAGCATTCTGTTACATTATCTATTAAAGAAACGTTGATGCCGAGGAAATGTTTCTGTACATGGCGTGGCCAAAATTTATAAACGGTTTATGAAAATTTTAACTTTCCATTTATTTTCCGAGAAACATGTAAAAAAATAGTTTAAAAGTTTCTTCTTAAGTATGTATCCTACCAACACATTATTACTACATTATTAAGGTAATTTAAATATATTTTACCGCTCAGTTACCGGTTCATTGTGTATCCTACCATCATATTTGTATCCTACATGATTAAGGCATTGTAAATATATTTTACCGCTCAGTTACCGGTTCATTGCGTATCCTACCATCATATTTGTATCCTACATGATTAAGGCATTGTAAATATATTTTACCGATCAGTTTCCGGTTCATTGCGTATCCTACCATCATATTTGTATCCTACATGATTAAGGCATTGTAAATATAT